ATTTAACATCACTTACTAATAATTAGAGAGAAAGAGGTTAAGAGATTAAATAATTTAATTAAATAATTTTAAAGATCAAAATTGCATGATGGTATATATTCTCTTCTTTATTCAATTGAAGAGACAAGCCCATGACCCCCCACTATTTGCCATGGGTCCTCACACCCAACCACTCACTTCTCTTTGTCTTTATTCTCCAAGCACACACTCTTCAATTGCTTAATTCACTCACAAAAACACATATGATTCATTTGGTAATTAGCTTAACCATCATATTTCTGATAATACTTTCTTATCTCTTCCAGATAACATCAAGTGTAAATGAAAAATAATATTATTGTTGGCCAGTCATTAGCTTAACCAATTCAAAATTCACTGTTAAACACATCAAAACTACCATAATTTACAATAAGCCTACAAATATATAAACAATTGCTAAAATCGATTAGGAAGTGGCTACTTCACTTTTCTAAACCTACTTTCATGGGATTGGAGATTATAGGTGATAACAATCAAATATGTTTGTTTATTTTAATTGAAATGACTTTTTTGATGTTAAAATATTTATTTCAATTTAAACAAATTTGAAATTTAATTTGAGACTCGAAAAAAAATATTTAGTTAACTAAACCTAACTCGAGTTTGAAGCTACTTTTTCTATGAGCCCACAAACGTGTTGATATGATGATAAATTAAATATATTTCACTTAAATATGTAGTAAATTATATATTTTAGAAATAACTATATGTAATTGTATTTAAAATATATAAATTTTAAACAAAGTTAGATATGTTAGATGTTAAAGGATTTCTTTGCTAAGTTTATCAAGCTCATTTTTATATAGTGCAAGCTTCTTCAAACTTAGTAGTGAAAGTATTTAAATTATATTTTGAGCCAAATTTGAATTTGGCACAGTTATAAAAAATGAAAATTAAATACTCAACTATTATATTCTACTTAACTCAATTTGTTGATAACCCTACTCATGATTATCAATAACTCAATAAATATCTAATGGATTCTTCAAACTAATATTTAACTCCTAGAAGACACAATTCAATAAGTACTAGAATGAGAGTAGCACGTTATAGCGTCAGGGAAGTTGTTGTAGCATTAGGGAGCAATGATCAAAATTAGACTAAGTTATAACATCTAAATTTGGGTCATATAAGTGATAAGGAGTTATTTGTCTTGAGCAAATAGGATTTGTTGGATGGATATAAAGAAGAAGTCATGGATTTTTATGAAGATTGTGTGTTTAACAAACATATCAGAGTAAAGTTTAGCAAGAAGGCAGTGCATAAGACCAAAAATAAATTAGATTATATCAATTCTAATTTATGGGGTCCAAACAAAATTTCTTCTAAAAGTGGTGTCAAATATTTCATGACTTTAATTAATGATTAATCTCGAATAGTTTGGGTATATATTCTAAAATCAAAATATGAGATATTTTCAACATTCATCAATTAGAAGACCATGATTGAGAAGTAGACAAAAAAGAAGTTAAGTGTCTTAGAACTATCAATGAATTAGATTTTGGAATCATATGTTTAATGATTTATGTAGCAAAAAAGGCATAGTGAGATATTGTACTTGTGTAAAAACATACAATATAATGGTATTGCAGAACACATGAATAGTACGTTTTGTGATAGCACACAAAATATGTTCACATTCAGGTTTAGTGCATGAATTTTTGGGCTAAGGCTGTGCTGTTAACATTGTTTGTTTCTTAGTTAATAGATCTTCATCTATAGTTATTGAGTACAAAGCTTCTTTTAATGTATGGTCTGTTTTACCTGTTGATTATTTTTAATTGAGAGTGTTTAATTGTCCTACTTATGCTCATGTGAGGAATTGTAAACTTGAGCCACTAGTAAATAAATGCATATTTCTAGGATATGCAATTGGAGTGAAATGTTATAGGCTGTGATGCAATGATCCAAAGTCTTAATTATCAATAGAGATGAGATATTTAATGAGTTTGTTTCATTAGACATTCCAAAGGAGAGAACAAGAGCACAATCAGATAACAATATCATAAAATAAATGGAGTTAGAGCCTGATACTCAAACAATTCAGTCCAATATATCTAGAGAATGAGGTGCAAGATCTTAATTAATAAAGTGATGATAGTGCACCTAGCCAGCAGTAACCATATAATATTGCAACAGACTGGAAGAGAAGATAAATTAAACCATAATAAAAATATAAAATTCTAGTTTCATATGCCTTAGTTACAGAGATAATTAATTTATAAGAACCTGGTAGTTATAAGGAAGTTATTTCTAGTTTAGATGCAAATTAGTGGTTTCGTGTTATGGGTGAAAAAATTAAGTCATTTCATAAGAATCCGATTTGGGAGCTTGTGTCATTGTTAAAAGGACAAAAGGTGGTAGGCTATAAATAAGTTTTCAAGAAGAAAGACGTCACTCCAAGGTTGGATGCACCTCAATACAAGACTTGGTTAGTGGCTAAATACTTTACTCAAAGAGAAGGGATCAACTTTAGTGAAATATTTTCTCTTATTATAAAACATAGTCTATCATAGTATTACTTGCTACGGTAGCTCTTCATGACTTAAAGCTTGAACAATTAAATATGAAGAATGCCTTTTTTACATGATGAGCTGGAGGAATAGATTTATAAGAGTTAGCTTAAGGGATTTGTCATTCTAGATATGGAAAACCATGTTTATTTGCTTAAGAAATCTTGTTATAGTTTAAAACAGTCACTTAGACAGTGATATGAGAGGTGTGATACATTCATCATATGTAATAGTTTTACTCGTTGTGCTTATGCTAGTTGTATCTATCATAAAAGCCTTTTAGATGGTTTTTTTATTTATTTGTTGTTGTATGTGGATGACATGCTTATTGCTGGTAAATGCATGTCACAAATTAATATTCTTAAAAAGTAGTTAGGTGATGAGTTTGAGATGAACGATTTGGATGTTGTAAAAAAGATATTGAGAATAGAGATTACTCAGGAAAAAGTTTTGGAAATATTTCCTTGTCTCAACAATCACATGTTGAAAAGGTATTGGGGCGATTCAATATGAGTAATTTTAAACCCGTGACTGTTTTATTTGCTATCCATTTCAAGTTATTTGCAAACATATCATCGAAGACATATGAGGACATGAAGCATACATCTAGTACTCCATATTCGAGTGTTAAACATAACATCATGCATGTCATGGTTTGCACTTGTCTTAATATTCATGTACAATTAGTGTAGTGAATAGATAGATGGTGTATCCTAGGAAATAACACTAGCAGGCAGTGAAATGGATTATGAGGTAATTAAAGGGTACTATAAATATGAGACTAATATTTTACAAAGAGAAGACGGGTGACTCAGTTGTTAACTATGTGGATTCAGATTATACAGAGGATTCTAATAGGAAAATATCTATGTGGTAGATATATGGCTCTAACAAAAGTACTAAAAGAGACTAGTTAGCTATAGGGTTTGGTGAGTGATCTTGGGTTGACACAGAAGAAGAGTGATCCTAGGTTGACACAGAATAAACCTTTAGTATTTTGTGATAGCCAAAGTGTCATACATCTCACTACGAAATAGATGTAACATGAGCAGACCAAACTTATTGATATTAAATATCACTTAATTTGGGACATTGTGTCATGAGATTCTATAGTTGTGTAGAAGGTGCCTACATATGAGAATTCTACAAATGTGATGACCAAGGCGATCCTTGTTTACAAGTTTAGGCTCTTCCTAGACTTAGTTAGAGTACATAATATTCAACAGTGCCCTTATGAGGACATTTTGGCAAAATAGTGTAATGAGATGGTTTTTTTTTCTTTATTGATGTCGATAAAGTGAATTCAAGCCAATGGAAAGATTTATTAATGTGGCTTAAATTTTGGTTTAATTAATTTGACTTAGTTTAAGTCATATTAAACTAGTCCAGTTTAGTTTGGTAAACCAATTTAGTTTTTTTTTCTTTATTGATCTTTTATATTAGGCTTTACAAATTAATTGGTGATGTATTCTTTTTTTATTATCGTAGTAAAAAATTTCTTCTTTGTCTTAGTTGTAGATCTAGAAATATTTGTCGAACCACGTAAAATTTTGTATTTTTCTTCTTCTACTCTTTACTTTATGGAATTGTGTGTGTGATTGAAATTTATTTTTTCTCAACACTTTTAGTTTTCTAGACTAATATTGCAACACGTTGCCACTTTTTTTAGGGTGACCTAAAATTTCATATAGAGTATATTTTTTATTTCTCTTCAAAATTTCGTTGTATTCCTATAATGATTCAATCTACAAATCCTCTTCAAATTAGAATAGTTCAATTACGGGAGTTTGAATTTAGATGGATAAGAATCCTCTAATAAATTCTAAAAAAATAAATTTACCTTCGTATTCAATGCATGTAGATTATCCTCGAAGAGGAGTTTAATCTTGTGCTTTTTTAGAAAAGTCTCAATTCTAAGTATATTAGAAGTCTTACTAGATCATACTTTTTTATTTAACAAGGTCATTTAAGTTGTTTTCCACCTCTTCAACCTGTCTTGTAATGTTCCTAAGAAGTCAGCAGACATCATTTCTTGAAACATCTCTTTGAGGTTATTGGTGAGAGGTTGAACAATCTTTACTTAAATGAGCATGCAAGCACATCTTTCAGATGCTCTATTTCCACTTAGGACATATGTTTTGTGTTGTTGGTTTGTCATGAATGAAAGTTGGTAGTTGAGCAGGTTGGTTGTGACAAGTGCAATTAATTAATTTAATGTATAAGCACAGGGAAGACCAGTGCATATGATCTCAATTATTATTCAAGAAATATCTTAATTTTGTTTAATTAGTTTGAGACCCCACATGCACTTTTTCTTCACTTTTCTACCATTTCTTTTCATATTTATTTTGTCCTACATGGTCCAACTTCTTCTTATCTTTATATAATATAATAATATATATATATATCCTTAATACAATTTCAATGTGGGCAGAGAAGATCTCACTGTTGTTGGTGGATCTTCAGCACAACCCTCTCTCACTCAAAGTGCCTGTTATAAGATAAGATATCAAAATACACCCACCACTATCAGATTCTCTACCCATTTATTTCTTTTTTCTTTTCTTTTCTTTTCTTTTTCTTTACTGCTTAATTCTTTATCTATATCTATATATATATATATATATTGCCATTTTAACAGTTTCTTATTCCTAGTAGTGTCATATAATGCCCAGAAAATCTCAGCATCTGTAGAATCTCTTACAAATGAACAAGTTTTTAGGCCTGCCCTGTATGTATTTATTATTTGGTGATATGGGAAGCTATAATCTAGGCAAACTGTCACTTTTTTAAGTTTCTTTTCTTCAACTCAATTTGCAGATGCTGACTGATCCTTCATAACTTTGCTCCCCTCAAGGGTCCTTATCAAGCCGCATGTCAATGATAAACATGGAAACAGATTATAATTTTTGTGGGTAAAGATGAGTCAATATTATAGATAATTAGATATTAAATTTCATTTCCAAAGATTTTTAAGGTAAAATGAATATTAAATTCCATTGAAAAGATTAACATGTTTTCTCTCTATTACCATGAGTCAAGTTATGTTACAGAGAACAAATAATATTCCCCAATCTTTGAAATAACAATACATGAGACTACAGAGAGAATGAAACTAATCAGAGATGAACACAGCTTTCATATAAACTAATACTTCCTCTTCCTTATCTTAAAACTAGATGATCGGATTACATCATCGTCCGTTTTAAGTGCTGCCTCAAGAACCTCCATGGACTCTGGTTTAGTGAAGTACGTAAAGAGAAGATAAATACCATCCAAGTATGTGTTAGTCTCCCCCGCTTTGTTTTTCTTCTTGATACTGTAAGCTAGAGGAATCACACCTCTATTAAATACCTCCACATACATGCCACCACCAGCAACAAGCACCTATAAAACAAGCCAGCATTAGCTACACCAACAATCAGTTTTTTTTCTCATAATAATAAAAAAAATATTACTTACAGGTACCCTTTGTTGAAAGCCTAACTAACTTGATATGAACATTGAACTCAAGTTGGTTCGACCAAGATACCAAGAAAAACTAAAAATGATGGATCTCAAACTATTCAGACTACAAGACTCTCAAGAAGATTACACAACAGAGAAATCTACAAAAGGCCACTTAAGGACACTGTAGTCAGTTTAAACAATCAGAGGAGACAATAACAAAACAACGCACGGGTGTGTGTTGCAAGGAGAGATGATTGACATCTTCCTTCGCAGGGATGAGAATGGGTTTCAGACTTTCCTGTTAACACATCCGATGAAGGCTACCACTTGAAAAAATGACATCTATCCTAATTTCTTCTCAGAAAAAATAACAAAACATCCCGCAGACTTTTACATCCATCACTTCTTGGAACTTAAGTGCGTGCGTTGCTTATGGAAATGCTTACACTTCCTAAGTTCACCAACATTTCATGTGATTTCTTGATGTTTTAGACAATTGAAAGTGTTAGCATTCTTCCTCTTGTAAGATCTAGATATGACCAAATAATTTTGATTTACATATTCTCATAACACTAAATGCACATTTTGGTTTCTGGTTGAGTAACATAGTTACAATAAATTTATGAAAATTCTTGTAACATATCCATCATAAACTTTGTAAAACAAAAATAGCGGCAGATTTTATCTCAGTGAACTTAGGGTGATCAAACCTTTTGGAATGATATTCATTTCAAAAGCATCTCTCTGTTGTCAAAATTCTTGTCATGCTGAAGAGCAGCTAAGATGCAGAAACAAAGCATTCATATCATCATTGAAAAAGACAGAGAGAGACAGACAGAAAGAAGCAAGATCACCTTTTATTTATTGGCTACAAATATTAATATGAAAGTTCTATATATTCTAATATCTCCATGGAAAGAAAACCATGTTCTTTAACTTCCTCAACAGATATTCTTTTCCAAGTTTATCATCACTGATCTACCAAAATGCATGGTATAGCTGTAAGTTGATGTCAAACACAAGTAGGCCTTTGAGTTATTCCATTTAGTTCCTCCCCAGGAACAAATCAACAAGGAGAAAACAATTTAGAAGGTAGCTGGCATTAGAGAGCCTTTTGGGATTGTTTAAATAAATGTACTTTGAAGTTATTAAGTATTAGGTGCTCTGAATTACTTAAAACTTTCAAGTGCTTATTATAAAATAAGTGACTATGCATAAGAAGAGAAATTTATATCAGTTCCTTAGATAAAAAATAACCACCTAGAAAAATATTTGAAATAAATTGCTCATTTTTTTTATTAAAAGTACCTTGTAAGCACACTGTTTATTTCTTTACCAAACTGGTAAATTAACACAGAGAACTTATAATTACTGATAAGCATGAAATAAGCAATTCTCGAATACATCTTAGATCAAGTCAAAATCATCAGACCCTGGTCCAATAGAACAAAGTACAGATGGGTCTACTTGACAAGTTTGTAAATCTTCTCCTCTTGTACATGGGTTGCACCCCCTAGTGCCCTTTCGGGCATCTATGTTTCTTTCTTAAAAAGAACGTAATGCAGGCTGTGCAGGTGCCCTTTTTTTATGCGAAATGAGCCAAAAGCAAATGGATTAAGTGGTTCTTAAGAACTATTGTTACAAATTAAAATGTTTGTGTTAAGTTATTTATTCCACTGACATCCTCTAAAGCTGTCAAGAGAAATTCAGATGTAGAGACTTCACGTTTCATTGGACGCCAAAGTGATTATGGATATATTAACAATAAAAAATGAGCTTCCCATCCTAATGGCCCTGCAGGTGATGACTATACGTCCACATTAAGATCCTCTCCTCCAAATAAAATGGTGCATCAAGTTAGAGAAGCTAAACTCGGGCCATTGTATTAACAGAGAGCTTGCCTTACAACAGTTCAACTATCATTCTTTTTCTTAGTTGAACTGAGAAGAGATGAAAGATTAACCCTTATTTAAAGAAAGTAAAACCAGTGTCACAAAAATCAAAGTTTAGTTATTCCCCAAGAGCAGCAGCTATAGACTGGAGAGAATGATTCTATTTGGAACGCATGAGCCAAGTTGGCTAATCTGTCAGCACAATGTGTCCCCTCTCTATAGGTGCTAGAAATCTAGATCAACCTTGCACTAAGAGCTGCTTGATAGGACATATTAAAGGAAAAACAAGGTTCTCAGCCTCATATTTACTCCTCAAGATCTGCAAGACTCATGCTGAGAATCCACCCTAATAAGCTTCTTGATAATTGACTAAATTTCTATAGGCCTTCCAGAACAACCAACCGGTTGAAAAATGTTTTCTAAAGTGCTTCTCCCAAAGGATCCTTTATGCCTTAGGCTGCCTATTCTTCTTCCTATGCAATCTTGCCATTCTTCTTCTCCCATTAAGAGATTACATACTTCTAAAAAGTATCATCTTTTCTTGAATAATGAAATAAATAAATGCATGGGCAACACATGATTTGACATGAAGTATTAAGCGTACAGCTGTAACAGATACTTTTTTGCAGGGTAACATAAGTTAATGATTTATTTTCTTCAGTTCCATCATAATTTGATGAACTTTTCCCAGAGAAAATTCACCTCCCAACAGCCACAATATTACTAAACCCACTAAGCCAGAGAAATTCTCCAACTACATAATATTCTATGATCATTAATCATTTCAAATTTAATTCCTAATAAAATCTTTTCTTTTCCTAAATTTTCTCGCCAACCAAACAGTTAAGAAACAAACATTAAATGAAAACACCAAGACAATCAAGATGTACATTATATTACCTCTTCGTACTTCTGGGTAAGAGCAAGCCGCTCGTCTTCAGACATATCGGGTCTCAAAACGGCCATTGTCTCGTACTGGTGGAGGCCTGGCGGACACTGTGGCTCAGGCTTGTCCTCGACGGCCGTCACTCCTGGCCCGGCCTGTGATGGAGAGTCATCTTCGGACCCAAAACCGCCCTCGAAGAACGAGCTGGAGAAGTCCAGGGTCTGGGCTCTGATGCTGGACGATGGCAAGCCATGAGTGTCTCGCTTTTGGAGGAAAAAATCGGTTTTTGATTTTGCGAGGAAAGGTTTGAGGGAACATGAGAAGGAGAGAAGGGGCGGAGTAGATAATTTGGAGAGAGGGTGAGAGGAAAATGGGGAACTCGATGAAGTTGGAGAGGTGAAAGAGGAAGCAAGCGAAGAAGTCGCCATGGTCGAACTGTGTTTTTTCAGTGGAGCGGTTCACAGAAATACTAAAGGATAAGGGGGGTGCGTAAAATGCAATCCTGGGCGGATGCTAGAAACTGGGCTTCTCTGATTAGAAATGGCTATTTGGGCTAGAACCAAGTGAACCGTAACTGATCAAGAAAACAAATGTAAGTACTAATGGATCATTCTAATTTTTTGAAAATAGGGATATATATATATATATATATATATTACTTTTTTTTTTCTCCCAAAGACAAGAAATAATAAAATAAAAAGTATACTCCCCACACCAGAACTTTCATACGTGAGCTGTACATAGCCTAGGAATTTATGTTACATATATCCCCAATACTATCTAATTTGATTTAAAATTTCTTTTTCAACAAGGTAGTTTAGCTTAAATTAAGAAAAAGATGAGTAAAGATATGCAAATTCATGAAAATTATTAAACAATAAAATATTTTTCTTTACGTAATTCATTTGGACATATGGATCTCCTGGAAAAATGTGGGAAGGACACTATCCACAATTTGGGAAAAACTGGTAGGTGGTATGCGGAGGAGGAGGAGGAAGAGGAAGAAGCATTAATCTTGATATTGGCGGCCATAGCTTGTCTCTATCTTACTTAGTCTTGTAAATTTATAGTACACTTTTCTGTTAAGAAAGTCACGGCCTCAATTTCCAAAGACGAAGCTACTGCAATTAAGAAGGTATCTTTTTTCGATCAAATGAACATTTCTTTTTCTTACTATAATTAATACTTAGAAAAATAACATATTATCATTCTTTCTCTTACGTCGAGTTAAATTATAAACAGACTTGAATTTTTGAGTGTAAAGATTATTCGAAACTCTAATAGTATATGGGAGAAAACATTCAAGAGTGTTAGCAATTAAGGATTGTTCTTTGTGGGTAAAAAAAGTAAGTATCTTGTCCTATTATTTTCGCATTAAGGTTAATCCTAATTTTCTAACAGTGGTATCAGAACTCTAGATAATTTTCACACCCTAAAATTCAAATCTATTTATGGTTTAACTTAATGTAAGAGAGAATAATAATATATTATTTTTCTGAGTGTTATCTTCTTATTTGTTTTTTTATAAAAGTATTTTTTTTTTTCTTATATGCTCACCAAGAATCATATCTTTTTACAAAATAGTTTATCTCTTACATACTCGTGAATAGTCGTGTCTTTTTACAGAGGGTGTTATGGGCGCTCCTAATTTTATGCAACATCTCACACTAGACCACATAAAATCACATTAACCATAATATACTACCACATTAACATATCTCTCATGCTTCATACAAGAAATAGGGTGTGTGACCAAAAGCTAATAAGTAGTGTTATATTAAGTCACAATCTAACTAATACAACACTTTCATATTTATAATACCTCAAATCACTTAAACATCACCGTTGGTATATATTATCCCTCTATGCTATAATTATATTACTTTGTTATATATAAAATATAATTATTCGAGTTTATGTGATGATGTCAGAAAGATTCTTCTTTAAACCTTCACGACAATCCATCTCAACTTAACTACTTTCCTAACATGCTCTGTTATACCATATAAGTCGTGGCCCTTGGAAACATATTAAAGTAGTAACATCAAATCTTGACTTCATATGATAGCTCCAAATCGAATGGTATCATACAAGGAGGACACAGTAGTCCATAGGATAGCACATATAGTATGATATATATATCACAACATAGTTCCTACCAAGTTGGGCATATCACTATTTTTTGTCGTATGAATCATAAGCTCAAATACTACTCAAGTATTTAACTTGAGCCACTTGATCAACATACTCAATATGTGACCTGACACTCGATATTTGACTCTAAAACTTTACTATGAAATTGGATATATTTCATATTCGACTCTCTAAAATCTCATCTTAAATATACTAAGATGACTATAAAATTTTAATATTTTATCATTAATACAACACAAGTATAAAAACATATCATATTGCACATAGTTAACGCCAACATGATTTAGTCTTATCCTACCCGCTACTCAACCATTAAGGAAATCACTCGTGTGATAAGGTTTATCAAAAAGTTTGTGACATTATTGTCTAATCATGTAATTATATTCATAATCATTTCATAAGAAAATAACAACTTTTATTTCATAAATGATCAATACATAAAAAAATATATGTTCATTACATATTAAATCCCACTTGAAAACTAAAGCCTACACAAACCTAGACTTTTCACATGACCTCAAAAAACATCTCTAGGTATGGGCTTAGTCAAAGGATAAATAAATATTTTGCTAGTGGATATATACTTAATATAAACTTCTCCTTTTTTGATGGTGCCTCGAACAAAGTGATAACACCTCTTAATATGTTTTATTTCCTATGAAATTTAGGATCCTGAGCATACTGAATAGTAGCAGTATTGTCACAATATATTTCTACAGGTTCATCAACTTTAGGGGTGATGTTGAGATTCTACAAAAAAAAAATTTAACTAAATTATCTCCTGTACGGTAAGACAACTAGCGACATACTCTGCTTCCGTTGTAGATTAAATAATGCAAGCTTACTTTTTACTACACCAAGATATGGCACCTCCATCAAAGACAAAAACATATCTTTAGGTCGACTTAGACTCATTTCAGTTGCCACCCTAGTCTACATTTGAATATCTTTTCAACTTTAAGTCCCCTCCTTGATAATAGAGGACTAGATCACTTGAACTACGAAGGTAGTATAAGATTCTCTTGATTGCTTGCCAATGAGCAGATCCAAAATTATTTTGATAACGATTTACCAAACTAGCCGTAAAACAAATGTCTGGCTGTGTACACAACATGACATACATCAAACTGCCTATTGCACTAGCATAAGGAACGTTACTTATTTTTATTTTTTTTTTTCATATGTCTTTGGGCACTCATCAAGACGTAAGGTTAGACCCTTCTCAACAGAAGTGTCAACGAGTTTGGAGTAATACATTCAAAATTTTTTCAAGACTTGCTTAATATATGCTTTTTTGCACAGTCTTAGAAGTTTCTTGGGACAATCTCTCATTATTTTCATGCTAAGGACAAACCTGGCTTCACCCATGTCCTTCATCTAAAAAATATAGGATAACCACTATTTAGTGGCATTGATTATCTCCATGTTATTTCCAATCAATAGTATATCATCAACGTGTAAAGAGAGAAACATAATCTCTCTCGTTATTTCTTCTTTTCATACACACTATGGTCTTCATCTACCATGGAAAAGTTAAATGAAGTAACAGCTTCATAAAATTTAAAATATTATTGTCTAAAAAACTGCTTGAGACCATATATGGATCTTTTAAGATGAAAAAATTTATTTTCTTAACCTTTTGAGACAAACTCAATATGTTGATCCATCTATATCTCTTCCTCAAGTGAATCATTGAGGAAAGTAGTTTTAACATCTATTTGAAATAACTCCAAATCCAAATGGGCAACCATGGCTAGAAGGAGGCAAATAGAGACAAATCTCACCACAGGAGAAAAAGTCTCTTCATAGTCTATACCATCAATTTAGCTAAAACCTTTCGCCACTAGTCGGGTTTTGAAATTTTAATTAATCCATCTACTCCACATTTTATCTTGAAAACCCACTTATTTCCAATTGATTTACGTCGAGATGAGAGATCAACTAGTTGTCAAACTTTATTTCTCATAATTGAGTCTATCTCATCCCTCATTGCATCAATCCACTCTTTACTGTTTTGTGAATTCATAGCCTCCTTAAAAGAAGTGGGTTCCTTAATTTCCAAATGAGTGCAAAGAAAAATTTCTCCACTGATTTGGAAATATCATCAGAAAAAATTTTCACGTTCACTCCTTCAGATTGTAGGACCTTCATCATCTACTTAAGTAGACGATAAATCTCTCTCACTATCCCTTTTTGGTGTGGGATTTGGAACTTGAGGACTTACCTCATGTTCCAAGTTTAGATCTTGAGGACTAACTCCATTTTTCAGTGGATTATCTCTTTCATTTGGTAGAGTATCACTATCCTTGATGACTCGACAGGTTTTTGGTACCTCCCTCTCACTAATAAATAGTTACATGTCCTCTTACAATTTATATAGTTCGAGATTCCCTTTTATTTCACTTAAAATAATTGGGAACTCATCCTTAAGAAAATGAATATTGGAAGAGTTAATTTTGGTCATGCCACCATTCGGGTGTTCTCCAAACATTACATATCTTTTTGAATGTTTAAGATATTTGATGAACATCATCTTAGTTGCTCTTAGACCTAGTTTTCCATACTTGTGGGTTGGGTTATGCACATAGTCTATCGACCCTCAAGGACATAAATTATCCAAAATGAGCTTCTTATCATTCCATAACTCATATGGAGTGATGGGTACACTTGGTATACGGTCAAAGATATAGGTTGTCGTAAGCAACACATCTCCCCAAAAATTATTAGAGAGGTTGACATGTGTCATCATCGATCTAACCATATCTAATAATGTATGATTTCTTCACTCTACAATACCATTTTGTTGTGGAGCATGAGGAATTGTAAGTTGCCTACATATATCCTTTTTTTCACAATATTCTTTGAACATATCAGAAAGGTATTCACGACCATAATCGGTTCGAAAAGTCTTTACTCTTCTATCCGTTTGATTTTTTATTTCCAGTACAAAATATTTGAACATATCTAGCACTTTATAGTGTTGAGAAATCAAATACACATGTCCATATCATTAATAGTCATTTATAAAAGTGAAAACATATATAGTACCATGACGTGTTTTGATATTTAAAAGTCTGCAAATATCAGAATAAATTAATTCTAAGAGACATGATGCCCTTGAAGCATTACCAAAAGGTTTCTTACTTGTTTTATCGACAAAGCATGACTCACATTTAGACAACTTAACAATAGTAAGCCGGTCTAAAAGACCTTCTTTAGCCAGTCTATTTATTTGGTCTTGGCCAATATGACCAAGTTTAGCATGCTACTTAATAGATTCAAAATTATAATTAAAGTAAAGCATAAGCAAACATAGAATTATTATATATATTATCATCCAAGTCAAGAACAAATAAATTATTTCTTAAAGAACCATAACCAAATACATCGTCATGATATAAAATGTCTAAA